GCAACCTTCGGTCCTTCTTTGCTGCTTCTGCAGGACGAAAAGTTTCTGACTCGTGCTCTTGTTAAGTCGCTTGGATGCCTTCCGGTAGCAAAAACGAGGCGAAGGAAAAAAGGGGCAAAACATTTATTTTCCATACAAATCGAAAGGTACAAAACAAATGCCTCTGGTAGGAGCTCCGTTTACATTCCCTCTATGTTACAATAAAAAAATAACATTAAAACGGCGACGGTAAGAAAACTGTTGCTCCACGTCCTGCTCGCTTACCTAACCTTTTTTACCCACACCCCTCCGCATGCAGACCAAATACACACCCTCTTTACGACATCTATCAACACTTTATAACAACAGACTAACAAAGCAGGATTAATTTATGGAGCACAGCCGATTACATTATAACATAAAATGATCAAGATTATAATAGAAACTTAAAGATCATGACCAATACTTAAATATGGCATGATGTAACTGAGTAAAATATTGGCCTGGACTTGGCTCCAACAATGAGGATTTAGAGACTTGCAGAAGAAACAATCTAATACAGATGAGGCTAACTGTCAGTTTCAGTCCCACTGATGTCATCCTCTTACTGGAAACAGGAGCTCTGACACACCCTAAACTCTGAAAGCTGAAAGATTTTTTATTCTGTCATTTTCCTCTAATTTCAGTATGACTGTGCAACAGGAATAAGAGTTACAGTTAAATTTGGAAAATGTGGGTGATGAAAGAAGGTTACGCTGTAACAGGAAAATAAAATACTGTGGGGTCAAGATCACATGATCCAAAGAAAACACTAAAATATAAACAATAACCTGGTGCCTGCACATCTGTAAATACAAGCTGAACAACAACATATGAAAAGCTCTGTCCAATCAGAAACTTCAGCAGGACAATGATCCCAAGCACAGCAGCAGACTGTCACTGACGATGAGAGAGATGAAGTTATTGCTGTGCTTCTACATCATGGGACGGACTTTCACACACTGCCTCTGCACTGTGGCTCAGTTTGTGTTTAATAAGTAATGACATGGTATAAAATGCTATGTGTTCAGGTTCCTCTGAGGTTCTATTTACCTAACATGAGGACTAGTAGCACTATTTCTTTTTAAATCTCTTGATAGCTAAACCCTTCGCTTTGAAAGAGGCCGAACTTTTTTCACTGCGACTGTAAATCATGATTCATTTTCTGTGCATTTCCGCGTCACTCGAGCATCACACTCACTGATCACAGTCTCTGTCTCACAGGTGTTCATTATAAACCTGCTCAGGGACAGTAAATACTACCACTTCAGGCCGGTGATGGACACTTACATCCAGAAGCACTTTGCTGGAGCGTTAGCTTACAAGTGAGTGTTGCTCTCTAACTGACAGCCTGATTGATTAAAGTGTGATTGTGTATTTGTGTGCACGTCGTTTGCCTTTATTGCAGTTTGACTTCTCCTGGATTTATTTCACCACGGTGGCTCAAGGGCATCAGAGATAAATACAGTATGGGAAACTGGCGTAGGATTACATGCTTTTCATGCTCATTTAATTTTGACCTCATCCAGATATATTACATGAGACGTATCGCTTTGAGTAAGAGTCTGAAAATTAGTTTTGCACTGACTAAATATTTTATAGATGGTGAAACAAAGATCTCGATCTCGGGTCGACTGGCAGAAAGTAAAAAAAGACACATATAGTTATTATAACTACATAAATTTTCGTTTTTCAGGTCTTTATGGTGTATTTTCGTACATGTTTGGTCCTGCAGAGTGCTGCAACTATCACAACAACAGGAAAATCTAGTAGTTTAACTCCACACAGAGCCATCCTGGGCTGAACGGGTCCTTTATTAAAGTAATGCTACGTTTGCACTCCTTCCAGTGCAGAGAATCAACCCTGTGCGGCTTTTTAAATGTGTTTCAGGGAGCTGATCCGCTGTCTGAAGTGGTACATGGATCGCTCTGCTGAGGTGGTGAGGCAGGACCACATACAGGAAGCCATGAGGGTAAGAGCTCAGTGCCACCTGGGTGGAGCACTGACCTGAACGCTGAACTCAGAATAATCAAACACATGAAGGGCTGTTCGCTGAGTTTTATATAACAGTCTTCACCATAAAGCCCTTTTTAAACAAAAAAACACCTTTTCAACTTTTTAATTCCTCCCACTGGACGTTCTTGCTCAGGTAAAATATGACTGCATGCATTCAGAACTACATCAGTGACGTAGCAGAGCTGGGAATAGATGCACCGTCCCACACAGATGTGCAGAACGTACCACATTCAGTAGACAAACGCTGCTCAGCTCGTTAAAATATTTATCCGACTCAAGCATCCATCCCAAATGGGTCACACTGTCATGTAAAAAGTGGACGGTGTGAATTATTGAGGACAGCTTTGACACATGCTGCAGTCTCCAGATTTATCTTTTATAAACTGCGTCCAAGGAGTTTTAGCCTGTTTCTGTCTGCTTTATTCTTCCGCTAACTTTCTTAACCATTGTTGAAAACAAGGAGCAGCCCAGATGCTGCAGATGTTTCTGTCCTGGTGCATCCTGGGATCTCTGTCCAGGATCTTGTCTCCTGCAGATGTGATAAAGGCGTAAACTCCAGATGGAAAGAACACTTTTAATTATCTGTAGCTGACTAACTAGACTTAAAGCCAGCAAACATTTTGAGTAAGCAGTCATTAAAATAGTAACAAGAATATTCAAGAAGAAGCTTCAGAATTTGATCTCACATCCTGATAACTACACGTTTCACCAAACCAGTCTCAGTGAGGGATTTTACAGTTTGTAACTCAGACTTCCTTTTGACACACAGTCGTTGGTTGATGTGGACACGCAGTCCTGTAAAAAACTTACGTGCAATCTTACTGCAAATGTGCATGATTGACTATCATCATGTTCAACCCATGCAATCCTCAGAGGGTTTGCAAAACACCAAAAAGCTCCGTCTCAGACTCGAAAGCCTCGGTTAGCATGTTAAATTTTAAATTTCATGACATCACAGTCAGAAGGTGTAGGAGAAAACCTCTTCTCTGATTTGCATCTGAACAAACCACAAAGATTTGTGAACTAAAGTGTTCGTATTGCACTGCACCATGTTTGGGTAAAACCAGCACAGGATATCAGCACAAACAGCTCAGACAGAGGTGGAGCTGTGCATCAATGAATCTTGCAAAGCCAGGAGAACAAGAGCACGAGCTAAATGAGTGGCCGAAGTTCCCCCACAACAACGTGACAGAGTGATGAGTTTACAGACAGTTTTATGTCTTCTGTGCGTTCAAATGAAGCTAATGGCTAATGTGGAAGTATAAAAACGAGAGTATTACACTGAACTAAACTAAAAACTAAAACTGGTTGTGAGGAATAAAAAAAAGAAACTAGAAAAACAAACTAACTGAAAATAATGTCGTTAAATAAAATCTACAGGAAGTCTTTGTCAGTTTGGTCACATTTGTCACTAAAAGCATCGTTGGCGTTCATGTTATTAAAACCTGGATAAGCTACATGATTGTGTTTTAGTCTCTGTTCTGAACCCTCCTGGTCATTTAAAACAAAATAAGTCATCTGATGCTCGAACTAAGAGAAACTAAAGCTTAAAGTGGGAATATTTTATTTAACTTAAATTACCCATCCTTTAAAAAAGTGTACAGGGCTCCCTCGCTACATCGCGGTTCACTTTTTGTAGCCTCGCTGTTTCGCCGATTTTTTTTGGTGCAATTTTCACGTTGTTTTTTTTTTTTGTTTTTTTTTACAGCGCATTGTGTTCTGCGTCCTGATTGGCTGTAGACCATTTTCAATCAATCTCATGCCGTGTCTCCTGTACAGCAGCGGTCTCCAACCTTTTCTGCGCCACGGACCGGTTTGTGCCCGACAGTATTTTCATGGACCGGCCTTTAAGGTGTCGCGGATAAATACAACAACATAAAACTAGTACTGGTACCGAAAAAAAGAAGATTTATTCATAACACACGTGAAAAGACCCAGGAAAACCGAGTAAACGATAAAAACGATAACAAAATAACGCTGAAAACTGATTAAAACCCTGAAAACTATACATTTCACACCTGAGCCTCAACTCTTGCGGCCCGCTACCAAACAACTCACGGACCGGTCCGAGGCCCGGGGGTTGGGGACCGCTGCTCTACAGCACAGAATGCGTTCAGCTTGTCAATTTACATAAATCTTTGCTAGCAAACACAACAGTGTCGACGTCAAAGGATTCTAAAGAGCATTAAGTGAAACAAAGCAGTCACATAAGTCAAACTTCACTCAGCTCATTCTTCTTGCTTCCTCGACGTCTGTACCATTGATTCATTAATGCTGAATTCTCTGGCAGCTGCTCTGTTCTGATGTTCTGGACCTGAAAACAGGGTTTGATCTTTGGTTTCGTTCTATAATACTGGACTTATTCTTCTACGAAGGCTTGAACTTTAGTTTAAACACGAGAGAAATGTGTGAAAATGTGCCTGTCTGAGAAAAGTGTATAAAGTGTGTAGTGAGGCGGTTTCACAGCCTTAAAACATCTATGATAGTTGTAAAAGAACAAAAAGTTCGCTACTTCGCAGATTTCACCTTTCGCAGGTTATCAGCATCCGCGATAAACGAGGGAACACTGTACTCCTAAAACATTTGAGGTTTGTGTTTCTTCTAGAACAAAAAAAAACAGACTGAATATTTCATGCTTCTCTTTTCTTTGTTTCTTTGTTTCTTCGTCCTCTCAGGCTTTGGAGTATCTGTTCAAGTTCATCATCCAGTCTCGGATCCTTTACTCTCGGGCCACGTGCGGCATGGAGGAGGAGCAGTTTCGCACCAGCGTCCAAGAACTCTTTCAGTCGATCCGCTTCGTGCTCAGCCTGGACAGCCGCAACTCCGAGACGCTCATCTTCACTCAGGTGAGGAAACCTACTGCAACAAAAACAAAAACATTTTTCTTCCTTGTTTAGGAAGCAGAGAAATCAGTGTCGTCATAGTTTACAGTAGACAGCTAACAGTAAAATGTACTTTAGTTTAGCTGCTTCCCATCTTCTTGTAGTTGCCTTAATCTGACTTTTATTTCACTTCTGTTCCTTTTTCCACTTGTACCTCGCATCTTTCCTTGTTTCCTTTCCTCATCTTCTCTTTCAATTTCCCCTAAATCTTTGCTCCTTCAATTGGGTCCCTATTATTCCTCCTGGGTCTCCTCCACACCCAAATACCACAGGGCCCCCAGCCTTGTCCAGGCCCAAATCAAGTCCCAGGTCCCGGCGCCGGGCTTCCCGCTCCCTTAGCACTAGCTCCTGCCCCGGGCCAACTGCAGTCCACTGTCCCAGGACAGGTTCCTGGCAGCGGACAGGCCAACTGCACTCAGGCCGTGAGCGCCAACGCTCTGCGGCCGACTCCGCTGTCAGTAAGTAAACGTCTGGAAGAAACCCACAGCACGCCTTTAACCCCGTGAAGCCCAGAGTCCCATCTCACCTCAGAGAGCTCTAACCACACACACTCCTGTGGTCCTCCACACACACGTCCCGGCTGATATAACACACAAGTACACAATGTCCTCTGACTGAGAGCATGTTTGTTAATGACATCCATCCTGATAACTCTTCACTTCACTCGCTGTAGAGACAAAAATCTTTCTTGCACCAGGCTGTAAACGCGTCTCTGCTGTCTTTTATATCCAGGCTCACGTGGCCATTACAGGTACTGCAGGTTTTGGACTTTTTCAGCCACTTGAATCTACGTTTATCTAAGAATAAACTCGTTTAAATAAATTAATCTCATGTACTTCTTCCTATTTTTCAATGAGGCCTCTAAACATTTTCCAAAATCCACAATTTTCACCAGAAGAACTCTTAAAGAAAACATTAAAAAGTGGAACTAAAACTGAAGTATTTCCCAGGACCTCATAGGCTTAATTATCTTCATTTTTAGAAGAGGTGAAATATTGTTAGTAAGTTAAAATAAAAATACAAAGAGTCGAGCAGAAGTTCAGATTGGCCGAAAATGTTTTTATCCAGAGTTCAGCAGCTTTCAGTTTTGAGCCACTTTGAGTCGAGTTCACACCAGAATGAACCTGTTTGTCAAAAACTCCACGTCTGCTGCAGCTTCTTTGTTGTGCTAAAATCCGTCTTTGTGTCCCGTTCACTCTGTTTAAACCATGTTATTAATGATTGAAACCCCTGACTTGCTAGTGTGTGTGCTTCGTCTTCCTTTTTTCAAACCTTTCACTTTCAGCTCTGGTTTGTTTTCTGCTGTGGAATAACTTCTGTGTGCCTCTTCGTACGAGCTGTTTTTTAAAAACTGTAATAGCTGAATCTGAAGAGATGTCTACCTGCTGACCTGTGTGGATGGAAAGGATTTATGACTCCTCGCGCCCTCCTCCCTAAATAAACCTCTCCCCTCTTGTCAGTAACACCTCTTCTGTCCCTCCGTTTATTCTCAGGCTGCACTTTTAAACTCGTTCCCGGCCATCTTTGATGAGCTGCTGCAGATGTTTACGGTGCAAGAGGTGGCCGAGTTTGTGCGCGGCACCCTGGGCAGCATGCCGTCCACGGTGCACATAGGACAGTCCATGGATGTGGTCAAGCTGCAGTCCATAGCTCGGACCGTGGACAGCCGGCTCTTCTCTTTCCCAGGTAAATGTTTGGATTCATTCGTC